TAGGCCTCCATCTTGGACACTGATCTCCATGTTTCCTTCCACCTGGGATCACCCAGGTCATGACTTCCCTTGCTCATGGCTTTTCTGGTGCCGTCTCTTCCTCTCCCTTCTCTACCAGCGCAGCACAGACCCTCATCACCCTGAACTTGGGATATTACACTGACCTCTTATTCTATGTCACCCTAACTGGTCCAACACCAACTGGAAGGTGGCATCAGGTGCTACATGTTATAGATTGTTTTCCACAAGACCACCTTCACTTCAGATGCCAACTATAAATCTCCTGGGTCCCCAAGTCACCCACATTTCTGGCCAAGTGGTTATAAATTCCAGGCTTCCTGCAATGCCCACAGGTTCGATATTTCACTGGAATGACTCACAGAACTCAGGGAAGTGCTCTATTTAGGACTGCTGTTTCACTGCAAGGGTCTGGAAGGGTCCTAGAAGCAGACCTTCTAAGCCCATTCCCCCAGGGGACAAGGGGTATCGCCCTCCTGGCACATTGGTGTGTTTACCATCCAAGAACGTCTCCCTGAGCCTCAGTGTCCAGAGTTTTTACTGGGGCTTGGGGTCTGATTGGGCTGATATCAAGTGGCTCGGACATGGTTGGTCTCTATGGTGTGGCCTACGCTCATCCTGACTCTTCCCTTTGCATAAACCATGTAGTCGTCCCATTGGTGCAAACTAGCAGGGCCCGCCATGAGTAACCAGGAAGCCCCGTCACTTGGAAGATCCCAAGGATTTAGTTTCCCTCTCAGGAATTAAGAAGGAAGGCCAGTCGAGTTCTTTATCTTATAACAATTCTTGACTGGTTTTAACTGGTAAATAACTGCTTGTCTCTTAAGCAATATCCATTCGATAAATATTTATGGACCAGGCCCCGTACAACTCAGTGGGAAGCTAAAGGTAAAAGATGGGTATGGTTGGGGCGTCTGGGTGGCTCAGTCGGTTAAGTGTCTGACTCTTGGCTTTGGCTCAGGTCATGATCTCACAGTTTGTGGGTTTGAGCCCCATGTGGGGCCCCACATGGCTGGGGATTCTTTCTCTGCCTCTACTCCTCTCCCCTGCTTGTGGTCTCTCAATCTCTCTCTCTCTTAAAACAAAACAAAACAAAACAAAACAAAACAAAACACAACACAACACAACACAACACAACAAAACAACAACAGAAACCTCCTGGTGCTTAGAATCTACTGAGGATTAGAGCATTACAGCACAGTGAGTATCTACAGTGGGAACAAGGAAGTCAAGCATCACAGGAGCCCTCTGAAGGATCAGTGAACCCTGACAATGAGTTAGCCAGGGAAGAGAGGGAGAAAGTTCTAGGCAGAAGGCACATGTGTAAAAGCACTAAGGCATGAAAGAGAATGACTTAGCCAAAGGGCTAAAGGAAGTTCAGAGTACCTTGCATATAGAGCATGAGGGGAGAAGGGGGAGATACAGGGCTGGAAAGGTCCGTGGGGGGTGGGGGTGGGGGTCCTGGGTGACAGCTATAGAATCATTCCCAATACAAGGATACATGGTCTTCCTCAAGCACTGCCTTCACGATGCCAGGTCTTTGGTTAGAAATCTCCCAGGGCTACCACTGGCTGCCCCAGGACCGTGGGCACCTCTCCGAGGCAGCTTCAACCGGGAAGTGAGGGCACTAATGTCTATAACGTTACGGGATGGAGACTGTTCACCCCAGCTCTCTCGCTCCGCTGGGGGCTCAGAAAGTGACACCGTGTTTCACACATTTTTGGATTTTTTTTCTCAGAGCCTAGTCCATGGCCATGGCATGTACTTCATAGCCAGGTTTGTCTTTTCCTCTTTTTATTTAAAAAAAAATTTTTTTTTTTAAGTTTTATTTAAGTAATGTCTCCACCCACCCTGGGGCTGGAATTCACAACCCTGAGATGGAGAGTCGCACGAGAGCTAGCCAGGCTCCCCCACAGTTGGGTTCCTTACGCTCCGATCAATCAACTTGGATGGGGAAAAAAGTATGCTTATTTCCAATGACTAATCGGAAATGCTTGTTATGCATTTATGCTTATTTCCGATTGAAATTCAGCAGCTCCTACAGTCGTGACTGTAGATACCACAGTAGCAGGAACAGTACCAGAGGCTCTGTCACAACGGTGGCCGCAGATACTGTCACATTACAGGGGTTGCTGATCTCTTGAGGTACGATTTATGTGCATTGCTAGTTTGACGTCACACTTTCCAGCCCTGCTGTTAGATCTTGTGAACGTGATATCAGAGAAGCACATCTTGACTCTAACAAGAATCTGGGGGCTTGGAGGCGCCTGGCTGGCTCAGTTGGTTAAGCATCTGACTCTTGATCTCAGCTCAGGTCATCATCTCACGGTTCGTGGGATGGAGACCCACGTTGGGCTCTGAGCTGACAGCGTGGAGCCTGCTTGGGATTCTCTTTCCCACTCTCTCTGCCTCTCCTCTGCTTGCAAGCACTCTCTCTCTCTCTCTCTCAAAATAAATAAACTTTAAAACAAATCTGGGGTTTTCATTTTGATTATTATATTTACATAGTTTCATTTCCTTTGTAGTCATACATATTTTACTTTATGAATTTGAAAACATTTTCCTGAGTAGGGGTCCATGGGCCTCACCAAACGGCCAAGGGGACACACGGTAGAAAAAAAAAGGTAAAAAACCTGTGCTTAATAGAAGTATATATGTCACCCTCATTCTTCCTAAAACTGATGTTTGACTTTGGATACTGAGGTCATCTCTCTGGTCCAAGTCCATCACTTCCAATCCCTGGTGCCCTCAAAGGTGCTCTGGGACACCTGTCTCCAAAGAAAACAGCTGTATCAAGTGCATGCAGGGCATCACCTAAGGGAACATCCTAGAGGTACGGAATCTATCAGTTGCAGATCTCTTTCAACCAGTGAGCTGAGAGCCGGACAAACCCTCACACACACCCTCCCTTGGGCCACCTGGGTCTCCTGTGACTCGTCCCATGATACCCTTCATCCTAGCGACGGCCAGCTGGACCAGGGATTTCACTCGTGTCTGGCTAGTGGCCTGGGAGGTGGCCAAGCACGAGGGCTTGCCAAACAGGTACTTTCCAGTTGGATGACCCAGTTAGTTCCTGTCTCTTGGGAGACTGCACTTGAACATGCAAGGGGTCAGCAGTTGGGAGGGCCAGAGGAAGTGATCGACACAAAGACAGAGGTAAACGGTGAGAGAAGGGAAACGAAGTCCAAGGTGGAGCTTGCCAAGTGAGGGTGGGGGTCTGGCCCTGTGCCTGTGTCACTTCATGAAGGTCTGCCTCTCACCACTTGCAAGAGCAGACCTAACCTGCGCCCCCAGAGAACTGTGGCGGGCCAGGAATCCCCAGTCTCACACAAGGCTCACAGCACAGCATGATTCCTGGCATGCCAGAGACCCAAATCGATGAAGTGGAGGGCTTTCTCCTCAGTCTCCCTAATCCTGGCTCAGTAGGCCCCCACCCCCTGTGCCCAGTGCCAGGGCCCCGTTAACTTCTTTGTCCTTGAAATCCCCTTTCCAAGGGTTCCCTATCTGCTTGACTGCTCACAAAGCAGTTAGAGCTGGTACTGCGCAGGTGGGGTTGGGCTGGGGGTGGGGGGAGGTGGCAGGCAGAGATGGGGAGGGAGGGACCAAGAGGTCTGCCACTCCCCACCTGACAGAGGCCACATGGAGTAGACCTCTGGGATCCGGCCCCCTTGGTTTCCCTTGCCCAAGCTCCTTCTCTCCCTCTGGGGTCTGTAACACTCCCCTCCTCTCTAGAATTCCTCATGGATCAAACCTAGTCCACTCTCCTTGCCCAGAAACAGATCCAGAGATGCTGCTACGTCTGTAGCTCGTTTAATCCTAACGTTTTAGAGACGAGGACGTGAGGCTGAGAGAAGTCTGATGCTAGCAGTCAGAAGAGAACAGGCCAAGCTCCTTCGGATGCTCTATAAAGACCCTGCACAAGGCAGCCTCTCCAGCGTCACTGTTCACAGCTGTCTGCTACCTGTTCCTCACTGCACCCTTGCCAAACTGATATGCTAGCCTCTCCCAAAACATGCCGTTTCATCTCCAAGTCTTGGCTCCTGATGATGCCCTGGCTAAAATACCCCTAGGATGCCCTAGTGAATTTTGGGTCAAAGTGTACTCCACGGTTCCCTGGTGAGGCAGGGATCGGGTCTTAATTGCCTCTGTACCCTCCAGCTTTGGTAAGGGGCCAAAAATGAGGTGTCCCCTGACCCCAATGCCACTAGATTATTAGGGTCCATAGTATAGTCCCACTTGGAACCCCGTGGGTGGGGTTTATTGAATCATTTAACAATACATAATGGGTCTATTATGTTCTAAACACTCTGCCCGGTGCTGGGGATCAAACGTGAATGGAGACATTAGCTGGCAGGATATCACTGAGCAGACACTTTAAGAACATTCTAAAAATCTACAAAAGAGAAACAACAGAGGGTTTAATCCGTGTTTTCCTCCAGGTGCGTGTTGGGGCGGCCACCCTCCCCACTCCCTACCGCGTTCTCAAGGCGAGATTTGAGAGGGATTAAGCATTATAATCCCCGGGTTGGGTCTGGCGTCCAGGAAAGCATGAGGCCTGAATCCTAACCAGGCCCCACACCTGGCCCCACTGTATCTCTAATTCCCCGCATCCGGGAATTAGCGGTCTGGTTTGCAGCTCGCTGCCATCAAGGGGCCCCAAAGAGGGAGTTGTGAGACCCTCAAACTATTCTCCCCGGACTCAGGAGACCCCATCTAGACGCCGGTCCCTGGCACGAGCAAGGGCCCCTAACGAGGGTCTCAGGCGACAATCTTAGGAGGTGCGACCCTTTTAAAAAGAGGAGACGGGTGGGCGCGAACTCGGGAGCAGGCGGGCATCATTATTCCCAAACCGAGATCAGAGCTCTCAGCAGACTCCGGGGTGGGGGGGGTGGGGGGGCGGCCCCCGGGGAGAGCGTGGCTTCCGGGATCCGCCCCGCCGGGCACCGCCCCGAAGACGCAGGCGCCGATTGGCCAACGCGACCGCGGGGCGGGACCAAACGCTAAAGGGGCGGGGCTAGGGTGGCCCGGAGACGGCCAGGGAGACGGCCAGGGCGGCGGCGAAACGCCGGAGGGGAAGCGGCGGGGCCGCACGTGGGTTTTTCGTGCATCTCTGTAATGCCCGAACCTAGTCCCAGGCGCATGGAGCCCACGCGAGACTATCCGCTGTTTGGGGGGGCCTTCTCCGCCACTCTCCCCCCCGGGGCCATCGACGTGAGGTGAGAAGGCGCGGGCACCGCTGGCCGACAGGGTGGGATGCGGGGAGCGGCGGGGGTCACCCCGGGGGTCTGCCTCGCCTCTCTCCAGCGATCTCCGGCCGGTCCCGAACAATCAGGAAGTCTTCTGCCACCGCGTGACGGACCAGAGCCTGATCGTGGAACTTCTGGAGCAGCAGGCCCACGTGCAGGGAGAGGAGGCTGCGCGGTGAGGGAGGCGGCGCCCGCGCGGCTGGCCAATGGGAGGGCCGGAGCTGGAGGAGTGGGCGGGGCCTGCGGCTGGACGTTTAATCGGGGCAATGAGAACTCCAAGGGCAACACTTTATCACCGGAAGCGAGCGAAGCTCAAAGGACTCAAAGATGCTGGGGGGGGAGGGGAGGAGCGGTGAGAGATGCCCCTGCCTGACTCTGCTCCCCCTACTCTAGATACCACTTTGAGGACATTTGCGGGGCGCAGGAGGCTAGGGCTGTGCAAGTGGAAACTGTGCAGCCCCTCTTTTTGGAGAACCTGGCCCTGAGGGGCTGCTGTCAAGAAGCCTGGGTCCTCTCTGGCAAGCAACAGGTGGCTAAGGAAAACCAGCAGGTGAGGGCAGGGAATGTGAGATTCCTGGAGGGGTGAAGGGAGTGGCCCCGGCGGGGGAGGGGTGAGGGGGTGGGGTCGGGTAAGCATCCTGACACTGATCCCTTTAGGTAGCAAAGGACGTGACGGTGCACCAGGCCTTGCTGCGGCTGCCCCAGCACCAGACTGATGTCCTGCTCACCTTCAGTCAGCCCCCGTAAGGAGGACAGATAGGACACATGGCTCATGGCTCGGTCCCCAGGAGGATCTGCTGGGAGGGGAGGAGCAGGGAGACTGGCTGGTGGGGTTCTCCTGGAAACAGGAGGTGGGAACTTCCAAACCCGAGGCCTGGATGATGTTCTCTCTCCATCTGTTCCCCCACCTTCAAGCCCTGACAACAGGCCATTTCTTAGCCCTGAAAATCTGTCACTTCTGCCCTGGAGCCTGGGTGACTTTGAACAGCTGGTGACCAGTCTGACCCTTCACGATCCCGGCATCTTTGGTCCCCAGTAAAGATCCTGAAGTGCCGCGTGACGCTGCTGAAGCACATGGGGGCCCTGTTCTGCAAGGGGAGCGAGGGTTTGGAGATATTCCCCTAATTCCTTCCCTGTGCATAAACATAAGACACCTCCTGTCTGCAGAAATAAACTTGCTTTATACCCAAGATAATCTCTGTGCCATTGCATCTAACAAGACACCTGGACCCCCCCCCCCCGCCCCCTGCCGGGTTCCCTTTGGTCTTGGAGTGGGGAGTGTAAAGTTTGTGCATCAGAGCAGAAGGGACCCAAGGCTGCCCAAATAAAAGGAGGAAATACTTTGGAGTGACCGGTTCAGCCCTGAGAGAGGGGTATGAAGTGTCCAGGGGGACGGGTAGGGAAGGTTTAAAGAACGTGACACCCAAGAAAGGGAGGGAAACTATCCCTTGTAGTGATTCAACCCTGAGAAGACAGTTAGGGAGTGGCGTAGGCGGTTCCCTTTGGATGGACGAAAAGATCCGCTGGTCAGAAGTCACGAGAACACAATAGTGGAGGCAGAAGTGTCTAAGGAGTGCTGATGTGGTGGTGTGGGAAGGACTGGCTGTTATTTGGTGTACGTGTGGTAGAGGGTGCGTAACTGGTCCCAGAAGAAGAGGGAAAGGATGGTGTGGGGGCCAAGGCGGAAGTAGGAGGCACCTATACCCTTGTACATGCCAAAAATGCCCTCTGTCCGAGCGGTCTGCCGCAGAGCATCCAGCATCCCCCGGTACATGAGGCCCTGAGAGCAGGTTGGAGAGGGAGGGAGAGCACAGGGAAGGGATCTGTCAGAGCCCGCCACGGGGCCTCTTCTCGGCAGGCTGCCTTTCTGGCTGTCCCACCTGCCCCCACAATCTGCCTTCACCCACCCCCTGGCTCTCCCTGCCTGCCAACACTCCAGAGCACTCCCTTACCTTGCCCTGCGAGTCCGTGGGCTGGTTGTAGAGCCTCGTGCTGACCACATCAAACGGCGTCATGGCCAGGACCACCGCAATGCCACTCACCATGGCAGCTGCCAGAGCCACTTTCCAGCTCTGGGGAGGAAGGATCTAAGAGTGGAGGGAGGAAGAGTTTTGTCAGCCAATCATTCGAGGCCTAGGGAAGGATAGGCCCCGTCCTGGGGACACAGGAGAGAGCTGGTAACTCGGGAAGCTCCCATGCCACCAGTTGCAATACAGCGTGATGACACTTGGAAGGAGGAAGGGCAGGCTGCTTGGGGACTCAGAGACGACTTCTGCGAGGTAAGCGAGGTAAGCGACAAGAGGACTGTGGGAAGGGTGTCAAGAGTCAGTGAGCCCCAAGCCCTCCTGCTGTTCCCTTGTTCCCTCACACTGAATGTCAGCACTGTCCCCTCTGGGGGGGGGGCCCTTCAGCTTGCCCTTCCCCCCTGCCCACATTCCCGGGGTGGCCCCACCCCTTTCCCAGGCAGTACCTCCCACTGCGTGATGAGGTCCTTGGTGGATGAGAAGGTGCACAGCTGGGTGGAGGAACCGATGATAACTCGGGGCAGGCCGCCCAGGGCCCCACGCCACAACCCCACCAGACCATGTTTCTGGCCAATCTCGCTTAGCGCCTGAAACATGCCCTGGCAGGGGGAAGACCACGGGGGCGGGCTTCAGTCCCCCCAGCATCAGGGGCTGCCACCTAACACTGCCAGGGAGGGGTCCTTAACAGGCACCCGGTGTCTGGACAACCAGTTCCGTGTGGACTTAAGTCGGCATGTGGCCCCTTCAGGGATCTGCCACCCCCCGTGGTTCCTTTCTTCATCACCCCAGAATAGGGGCAGGAAGCAAGGGAGGACGTGAGCAGCTCAGGAGAATGGGATGGGAGAAACAGGTGCAGAGACGTGGAGGAAGTGGGGACCGTGTGGGAAAGAGGGTCTGGGCAGACTCCAGGGACGCAGTGGGGCTGAGCTTGTGGACCAGGCAGAGCCGGGACTGGGTTGCAGTTGTCGGGGGCAGGCAGAGAGGTGGGGGGCAAGGGGCGCGGGGGGCAAGGAGCCAGTGGGGCTGGAAAACCCTCACCTGATGCTTATACTGGTGCCCTACCGCAATTTCCGAGGCTGCTTGTGCCTGTAGGTGTGTCTTCACCTGGGGACGAGAGAGTATCACAGCCTCCAGCCCGGGGGCCACCCTCCCACCCCAAAGACCCGAACGCCTGACCCCCTCACACTTCCTCTGGGGTGTTCGGCAAGGTATATCCTTTTAATCTGATAATTATTGTTGTTCCCACTTAACAAATTGGTCATGAGACTCTGTGTCCCTTGGCTCCAGTCCCAGGGGATGGATCTCTTAGCACGGAGAAGACACCCCACCCCCTCTACATCCTCCTTCCCTTGGGGTGGTAGGGTGGGGGATGGGGAGGTTGGAGAAAGGCAACATTTCCTAAGACTGTTCCCGTATGGCAACACTCCGGTGTTCGGCCTCTCATGCCAGTTCTTATTCTCAGACTGGATCTCCAGCCACCACTGTGAACCAGCCTGCCCATCGAACTGGGGCAGGTTGTGAGGAGTCATCTGTAAAACTTGCTCTCTGGCCCCCAAACCCCACGGGGGCATGTGGAGGCTGATTTTTGAAGGGGTCACTGTCCCCGAATCTCATAACCTGAGAGCGAGACCAGACAGACTGCCTCTCTTACAGAACTGACTGCCTCCCAGGATCTTCCAAGAGGAACCCTAAGCAAGGCCTAATCCTAGCAATAAGCAGCTGTGTGACCTCGAGCTGGTCACTTCCCCTCTCTGGGCCTCAGGCTATTGACCCTTCATCTATTCCAGAAAACTCAAAGGAGAACACTGCGGGATTCTAATTCTGTGATGCCCGGGACTTTCCTTGATCCCCTACACCCGCTGATGTATGGTGCTCAAATTCCCCATCATCCCCTGCACGAACCCACTTCCAAGCTCAGTATCAGCTTGTGCAGGCCCGGGCCCACCCGACACCAAGTGTCTGCCTGAAGGCCCCAGGCAAGATCCTTCTTCTCACCATGTAGATGGGGCTCCCCAAGTAGGCTCCCATGACCCCAGCCAGGGCCCCAGCTGCTGCGCTTCGTGGAGGGCTGAGGGTGCCTTCGGCAGTGTGCAGGTAGCCCCCAGCCTCAGCCAGCCCGTAGGTGCCCAAGCGGATGCCATTCATCAGGAACTGGTATAAGAGGGCGGGGGCCAGTCCCTTCTGCAAGGCAGCCAGGCCGTCCACCCTGCCGATGGTGATGAAGGCGTGGAAGACGTTTCGGTAGTGCCGCTGGTAGGTGCCAGGGGCCTGCAATTCTCCCTGCAGCTGCATTCTGGTCTTTACCACTTCCAGGGGGTTGGTGAACAGACAGGCCCCGCAGGCTGCCAGGCCGCTCATCAAGAAGTCCATGGTGGGGTAGCAGTAACAGGAAGTGGCCCGGGAGTAAAAAAGTAAAACTGAGCTTCAGAAACGGGGGGTGAGAAATCAGGGGGAGGGCCTCAGTCTTAGCAGTCCGGGCTGCAGGAGATAGGAATTGAGAGGTCTGGAGCGGAGACTGTTAGGGTCAAATGTCAAGAGGTCAAGGGTTAGCTGGAATTTGGGAGTCAGGAGCTGGCAAAGAGAGAAGAAAAAGGAGTTTAGGAGAGCCTGGTGAGAAGGTTATGGCAGGGCTCTGTCGGTCAAGGATTTGAGGCCAAGGAAGGGCGGAAGTCAGGAGGATGGCAGGTGGAATGATGAGGATGGTCGGCTACGGGGGCCCAGGAGCAGGGGAGGGAAATGCGGACTCGGGAGATGGGAGCCGGGAGGAAGGAAAAAGAAAAACAGCAGGTTACGGAGGAAAAGGATCCTGGAGAAGATCGGTGGCGTCCCGGGGAAGGCAACGGGATCGATCTGTATCGGGGAAGCAAGTCTGGACTCCAGCCCGGGATAAGCGTCCCCGGGCAGCTGCCGAAGCCCGCTGCAGCTCCGGCCAGGGGTAGCCAGCGGAGGCCGGGCCGCCACACTCCAGTCACTGGAGCGCGGCGCCCAATCGGGAGCCGGGGAGAGCCGCAGCCGGGAGCGCCAGCCAATCAGCGCCGAGCCGGCTCCGCGGCCAATGGGAGGTGCTCTGGACGACCCGGCCCCCGGAATCCTGGGAGAGGCTGTTGAAATTAACTCTCCCCACGCCGGCGCCGGCGCCGGCGCGGCGGACGGGAAGCTCCGGGAGGGGCGTTGGGGGAGCAGAGCTTGTATCTCCCGCGGGGAGGAGAGGCTGGACCCAGGGCTCCTGGGCTGGGGTTTGGGGCTGCTCCTCCCGCGGGCCGAGGGCGCCCCTCCCTTCGCCTTCTGTCCGGGTCTGTGTCAAACTGTGGATCCGCTCCCTCCTGGGCTCCGGCGCCAGGTGAACCCGGAGGCTGCGGCTACGCCCGCAGGTGCGGATGGGGGACACACCTGCTGGACCGGATGGATCTCTTGAGGCTGTGGAGAGTATTCGTAGGCTCCAGCGCCGGGGTGTGGTGGCTGCGGGCCCCGAAGGTTGGCGTGGGAGCGCAGTCAACCCTGAGCTCTTGATCCTCGCGGCAATCCAGAGGCGAAGGGCGGACAGGGCAAGGCAGGGGGTTAGTTCCCTGGGCTTAGGTTTACACTGTCAGCTTGGGGGTGGGGTGGGGAGGGGAGACTGGGATCCTGGACCCCTGTCTTTGCTCATGAGTCCGCTGACAGTTAATCACGGGAGAACCGAGGAAAGAGGTTGGGTTAGCTAGCAACCCTGGCAAGGGGTGGAAGGAGAAAGAAGGCTTGGGAGAAGGAAAGCACGATGGGGGATGTCATCTTGGGGAGGGAGGGAGGAGGAGGAGGAGAAGGCAGAGGCTGCCTGCCTGTGTGTGAGTGAGGCAGCCACCAGATTTAGACTCAGCGCCTCTGGAGTTCCAGTTTGGGTCCTGTTGTGCACCGGTTCAGTGACCTTAGGCAAGTTACTTAACATTTCAGACCTTCCTTTCTAAACAGGAATGATAATTATCTATTGCACCGACCTGAGTGCAAGTGTTGGACCTGTACTAAGTGCTCAGTTACCAGGTTTCCAGAAAAGCCGGGAGCTGTCAGACTCCTGTGCCCTGTGCCCTCCAGTGTCTTGTTCCCACTGCCCGGAATGTCCCTTCCTTCTTTTGGCGATTCCCAAACCATTCCTCACCTTGACCTTTACTTCTCCTGACACTTGAAGCTTTTTCAAGTTCTCCACTTTCAGCCATTTCCATCTGGCTTTGCTCCTCAAGCATTTACCCACATTTTTCATTTTAATTAGCAATTGTTTACTCCCTGACTCCTTCACCCCTCTGGGAGTTCTTGGATGCCCCAGCCCACCCCTAGACCCTGTCTGAGTCATATCTATCTCACCATTGTACTGCTACCTCATTGAGCAGTTCAGATGAGGCAGGAGGGGTGGAGGATAAAGTAGCACAGATAATGGGGCTTCTCAGGAGGGGCTCTGAGTCTTCTGGAAATTTCCAAAGAATGCTCTTAGAGTTCTCCACCTGGTGGACGGGATGAGAATTTTTTTTTTAATGTTTTTATTTATTTTTGAGAGAGAGAGAGAGAGAGAGAGAGAGACAGAGCATGAGCAGGGGAAGGGCAGAGAGAGGGGGAGACACAGAAGCAGGCTCCAGGCTCAGGCTCTGAGCTGTAAGCACAGAGCCCAACGCGGGGCTTGAACTCACAGAGTGTGAGGTCATGACCTGGGCTGAAGTCAGACACTTAACCGACTGAGACACCCAGGAGCTCTGAGAATTAATTATTATTTTAATCCTGGAGTTTACACCAGTGGTTCTCAAAGTGTGGTCCCTGGAGCAGCAGCAGCACCTGGGAATTCACTAGAAATGCAAATTCTCTAGTCTTGCCTTAGACTTCCGGCACCAGGAACTCAGGAGGTGAAGACTGACTGACTACTCCGTTCAAGCCCTGTAGGTTATTCTGATGTGTGCTGAAGTTTTAGAACCATTAGTTTGGGCCTTTTGTCTTTAATATCTAGATACCCTAGAGATAGACTACTTTTATAGTATTATTTTTAAAAATACCTTAATTTTGGGGTGCCTGGGTGGCTCAGTCAGTTAAGCGTCCGACTCTTGGTTTTGGCTCAGGTCATGATCTCACAATTCGTGGGTTCAAGCCCTGCGTTGGGCTCTGTGCTGACAGCTTGGAGCCTGGAGCCCGCTTCAGATTCTGTGTCTCCCTCTCTCTCTGCCCCTCCCCCTCTCATTCTCTGTGTCTCTCTCTCTCAAAAATGAATAAACATTTTTAAAAAAGGTTTTTTTTTTTTTTAATAGCGTAAATTTTAGAAGTGTTAAATTTACAGAAAAGTCGTGGGGCGCCTGGAGGGGCTCAGTTGGTTAAGTGTCCAACTTCGGCTCAGGTCACGATCTCACGGTTTGTGAGTTCGAGCCCTGCATCGGGCTCTGTGCTGACAGCTCAGAGCCTGGAGCCTGCTTTGAATTCTGTGTCTCCCTCTATCTCTCTCTGCCTCTCCCTGGCTCACACTGTCTCTCTCTCAAAAAAATAAACATTAAAAATTTTTTTTTAAAAACAAATTTACAGAAAAGTTGTAAAAGTTGTAAAGATACTATGAGAGTTCCCATATTACCCCCATCCAGTTTCCCTTGTTATTAACATCTTGTGTTAATATGATATATTGTTATAATAATGGACTGATATTGACACGTTATTATTCATTAGAGTCCATATTTTACTTGGATTTTCTTCATTTTTGCTTCAACTTCTTTTCCTGTTCCAGGATCCCATGCAGGGCACGTACCACATTACACTTCATTGTCATATTTTCTTAGGCTGGAAATCTGTCTTAGCTGTGACAATTTCTCAGATTCTCCTTGTTTTTGATGACCTTGACTATTTTTTGGTGACCTTGACAGTTTTGAGGAGTCCTGTGTTAAGGATTTTGTAGCATGTTCTCTGCATTCTCAGGATTGACTGAGGGCTTTTTGTCTCATGATTTTCTTTCTTTTTTCTTTTTTCCCCCTCATGATTGAACTGAGGTCATGGGTTTTTGGGAGGAAGACCACAGAGGTAAATGTCATTCATCACATCATATGAAGGGTGCCACTGGATGCATACTGTCAAAGTGGCTTCTCACTGTGGGTGTTGATCTTTTCTTTTTTTTTTCTTTTTTTTTTTACATTTATTTATTTTTGAGAGACAGAGAGAGACAGAGCACTAGTCAGGGAGGGCTAGAGAGAGAGGGAGACACAGACTCCAGGCTCTGGGCCGTCAGCACAGAGCTCGATGTGGAGCTCGAACTCACGTACTGTGAGATCATGACCTGAGCCAGTCGGATGCTTAACCGACTGAGCCACCCAGGTGCCCCTGTTGGTGTCGATCTTGATCACCTGGATCAGGTACCCTTTGTCAGGGGTCTCCGTTGCAAAGCTATGATTTTTTCCTCCTCTGCAAACTGTACTCTTTGTGAAAGGGCGGGCCTATGCCAGCCGACTCCATCTTGTTCTGTGTCCTTCACCTTGACCACACCTCCTTCCCTTGAGTCACCCCCCCTCACCTGCCTAATGGGACTCGGACCCTTCCCCAGGACCCTTCCCCAGCCAATCGGCTGAGGCCATAGCCATTACCTTACCAACTGCCCCCAGGCCCCAATAAAACCTTTGTCCCAGCCAATCGGCTGAGGCCATAGCCATTACCTCACCAACTGCCCCCAGGCCCCAATAAAACCTTTGTCCTTTTGAAACTCGCTCTCTTTCCCTGGTATCTCACCGCTGCGTCGGTGCAGGTAGGGGATTGAGCTCGAGCTAGCTCGAATAAAGGCTCTTTGCTTTTGCATCGGACTCGGCTACCTAGTGGTCTTTGGGGATCACGAATTCTGGGCATAACATTTGGAGGGAAGTCACTATGCACAGCCCACACTTAAGGGATGGAGAGTTAGACTCCGCCTCCCCGAAGGAGAAATATCTGCACAATTTATTTGGAATTAATGCACGGAAGAGTTGTCTCCCTCATTTATATATTCATTTATTCAACTATCGATTTCTATCAGTATGGACCCACGGAGATTTATTTTATACTTGGGGTTATAATCCCATATACTTTATTTTGTTGCTCAAAGTGTTCTAGCTTTAGCCTTGGGAGCTCTTTCTTTCATGGACCATCCTTTTCGTGTTGTATCCAAAAACATATCGCCAAACCCAAGGTCACCTGGATTAGCTCCTATATTTTTCTTCTTGAAATGTCAGAGTTTTACATTTTACGTCATAGGTCTATAGTCTTTTTCTGAGCCTGGATGATGTAAGGCCTGTGTCTAGATTCATTTTTAAAAATTTTTTTATGTGTATTTATTTTTCAGAGAGTGAGACAGAAAGAGCACGAGTGGGGGAGGGGCAGAGAGAGAGAGAGACACAGAATCCGAAGCAGGCTCCAGGCTCCCAGTTGTCAGCACAGAGCCCGACGTGGGACTCCAAACTCACCGGGGTTTGAACTCACGGACTGTGAGATCATGACCTGAGCCGAAGTTGGACGCTTAACTGACTGAGCCACCCAGGCGCCCCTTTTTTAAACATGGATGTCCGACTGTGCCAGGAACTATTATTGAGAAGAGTATCCTTTCTCCACCCAACTGCCTTTGCTCTTTTGGTTAACATCAGTTGAATATATCTGTGTGGGCCTACTTCTGGGCTCCGTATTCTCTCCCGTTGATCCTTGCATCATTTCTTTTGCTAACACCGTGTCGTCTTGATGACTATAAACTGTCACCATTTTTTGCTGGGTGTGAATGGCCTGAGACAAATTCGAGAGGAGCGGAGGGGGGACCCCAAGGGGGACCCCAGGTGCCCGGGGGGAAAGGGTGGGACCACAGAGAGGGGTAGGGAGCATGATGCAGCGTGTGGAGAACACTGGGCTGTGCCTCATCTCCACCTGTGCTGGGGTGGCCTGGACACTGATGGGTTCATTTGGCAGCCAGGTCCCACACCTGAAGTGCTCAGACTCCTCCACCTGGTGGCAGTTAGACCGAATCCTTTATCCTTACCA